TCTTCTTCTTCTTCTTCTTCTTCTTCTTCTTCTTCTTCTTCTTCTTCCAGGGATGTTCTATTATGTCACCCAGGCCTACAGAGCCAAGGAACCAGATGAACTCTCCCTTGAGTTTGGGATTGTGGTGGAAGTGCTGGAGAAATCAGACAGTGGCTGGTGGCTGGTTTGGTAAGCCAGGAGGTGGGCTGGGCTGTGGGGGAGGAACTCCGTTTGGGCACATCAATGGGGCACTGGCCAGTTTCTGCCCACAGACCATGACATGGTGTCTACTAGTTGTTGACAGCCTGATAAGAAATATTGAATACTGCATTATACTTGCTACCTTGAAACATTAGTAGACAAAAATCTTGGGCTCTCTTCACCAAATCAAGAGGATCTGGTAGCACCTTTTCAGAATAACAAATATTATGAAGAGATTACCTTTCTGGAGTTGTAGTTCACTTAGTCAGAAACAATGGAATGATTAGACATTAATTCTGTGGAGGTCCTGTGAGTGTTGTGTTGCTTGTTGGGCTGGGTTGGATTTTGAGGGCAATCAGTGACAAAGGGGGTCCTGGAAGAACGAGAGCCTGGCAATCAGGGAGGCAGGCCAAGCAAAGGCCTCTGAGGGGTAGGGAAACGCTACATAAAATCCTCCACAGGTTGATCAACTCTAAGCCTTAGCATGATTTGTGTTGAGAAACGATGGAAATTGTGATCCACCAGAACTGGACAATGGCTGTTTGTCCCCTTTCTTGCTTTTTCCTCTTTGGGGAACAGCATCCAACTCTCTGTGGAGCTAAAGGAGAGTTCAAAATTTCTTCCAAAATCCATATGCAGAAATTAGAAAGTAGAAATTTCACAAGAGAGTTAATATTAGGACGTTGGCATTAAAAAAGAAATCAGCTTTTATTGAAGAGATTGGGGCTATCCCTCTCCCCACAATGCCATAGATCCAGGTCTGTAGTTGTTGAGAAGCAACATGCCTAGAGGTTATGGCTGACCCAACAACGTGTTGGGCTAGGCTAATCAAGCAGACCTTGTCGTGGAGCTGAGGCACTCTCTTCCTGACCTGTCCCCCTTTTGGCTTCCCAGGTACAATGGAACCACAGGCATTGTTCCCTCCCTGTTTCTCCAGCCGTACAGAAACCCCCTTAGCAAATTCCTGGCTCTTGCCTCTCCCTCCTTAGGCAGCTCCTTGCCAAACCTCACCGAAGCCCCCAGTCTCAGCAGCAAGAGTTGCACAGCCCAGCCAAAGAGGAACCAGGTTTACCTCAGCCAGAAGATGCAAAGCAAAGACACTGGCTCACTCGAGGGCCAAGGCATTCGTTCTCCAAGTAGAAGTTCCACCTCAGGAAATTCCAGTCCAGCCTCTGGGAATGGGAGTGGTCCCTCTGATCCTGAGGGCCACCTTGTCCTCACAGAGACGCTTCTCCAGACATCTGGCACCCCAGGAAGCGCCTCCTTAAGCCAGCAGCAGCAGAACCATCCGGGCTTTGAAGGGGAATCTTCCAGAGAACCTGTCCATTTGCTTCCCTCCTCTGGTGTGGGCTCCTTGCCTAGTGGTCCCATTGTGCCCCCACGCCCCTCCCCTTGTGAAATCCTCCAAAAATGTAGCAGCCTAACCAGAAGGGCTCTGCAGAAGGGCTCTGGAGAAGCCCAGCTGGTTCCCAGCTGTAGAAAAGAAGTAAGTAAGCGCAAACTGACATCATTGGACTCCAAGATTTATTGATATACAAAATACCTGTTGTGTGTGGAAGGAATCACCGAGTTCCTTACTCAAGGTTAGAATTGAGAATTGTCCCCTTCTAAAGTCAGAGGGTCTGGCTGAAGCGGCACAAAAGATGACCTTCCACCGAGGGATACACCTCCATTTCCCTAGAGAGAGACCAAGCTGAAAGCACCACTTTAAGAGCTTTCATCTTGGAGCCAATGCCTTGGAAGGGAAAGGAGGGGACATTTTTCACCAGGTTGGGTGACATCACCTCCTGCAATGGGGCGCCATTTCGCCATGCTGGATGGAGCTGACACATATCTGTGTGGAGCACTTGGAATATTTTGTGAAGGACTTAACCCAATTCTGCCTAAACAAAAGAGATGGGCAAGTAGAACTGAGTCCTGCGTGGCCCTTAGAAGTTCTAGTAATCCTACTTTCTACTCAACTATCAACATAGTTGATATGAAGTTGTTGACTGACGTATCCAAGTTGGGGTCTACAGTAGATATTTAATAATATGATATACTGGAATGGAGGCATTTTAATACTTTTAATATTCCTTACTTATTAATGTATTTTAATATTTTAGTAACTGATTTCTGTCTAGAGGTTTGAAGGTTGTTAGATGTATACAATATGAAATAATAAAATGACATGTAATTAATGTGTGTTCTTTCAAACTCCAAGCAATCTACCTGTGAAAAATAAAATTACTTACTTTGTCTCTTCCCTTTTTTTTTTTTAAAGTTCAACAAGTTGCATTTCACAGAGACTTTCCTCACTTCTTTCACTCACAGAATAATAATTCCTGTTATGGGGAACCTTATCCACTCATGAACAGCAACAGGGTGTGTATTAAATTTGGAAATTAGTGTGCAACTCACTGCTAGATATCTAAACTTAAATAAGCAAATAAAGCACATTAAGACAAGCTAGGTTACGTATTTTTTATTTATGAAAGTTGTTTGCTGCCCATCTCACTACAAGGCGATTCTGGCCATCTTATAAGGTCGAAGTCTTCTGTACTGTACTAATGCTATCCAGATAATCATCATGGGCACCAGAGCCACTGAATTTGATGCAGTAAGCCTGACAGCTCTGCTGGGATTGTTTACAGTCTGTATGGTGGGTGGTAGGTACTCTTCCTTACTCTGCTCTTTGTCATCTTAATGTCCAGCAGTTTTTATGTTTGAAAGCTGCCCAGATTTGCCCCTGGACAAGATGAGAGGCACTAAAAAATCTAATACATCGATAAATAAAACAGCCCTTTGAGGTAGTCCAGATCAGCAAACAGACTCCAGAAGGACCACTGGAACTCTCTTGCTAAAGGGTGTAATAATGGAACTTTGAAAGTCTGAGCAAGATGCTCTCTCCTCCTTATAGCAACAAGGAGAAAAGTGAGGAATCTTGACTTTCTTCCTCACTTCATACTGTTTTCTGTGCTAAGCTGGTGCTAACCTAAATGTTGCTGCATCTCTACTTTGAAGCCCTCTGTAAGCTCGTTCACCACAGCTGCAAGAGATGGGAGCAAGGCAAAGCCCTTCGCCTGTATCCCCACCTGCTTCATCTCGCCCAACCACCCCTGAGGATACAGTCAGAGCAGCAGAGGCTCAGCTGTCCTCCTGCCTTTATGGCCACGACATCTTCCTGCAGAAGCGAGACCTGATTCATGCACCCTACTGGATTATCATTTGGTTTGTTTGGTTTAGCCTTAACATGTTATCCCAACCGTATCAACTGTGGCTTGTTCAATCATCTACAGTGAAGAGCAACCGGGGCTCAGCAAGCTTGGTGAACTAAGCATGCCATCCACCACCCTCCCAAAAGGTGACTGTGAAACTATGTAGATTAGTTCATCTGTGAAAATTATTGTAAAGGAATTAAGTGTGTTATTTTTTAAAAGATACTGAGGTGGAGAACTTGTATGGCCCAGCAAATGAGACAAGTTTATTTATACAAATAAGCATGTATTTATTATATATTTATTATATAAAAGCATTCTTTAAAACATTGTTGGTGAGGGAGGGTCAAACTGTTTTGGGATGTGGACAAGTACTGGCAGATAAGCTTCAGCTGTCACGTCTCCATGTCTTCGTCCCACCTGGGAGCCTCAGCCAGCCTCATGTTTTGCCACATGAAATCCAGGAACATGGAGGCCTGGAGTAGCCGTCCCAGCCTCTGGAAGTGGCGTTCTGCAAAGAAGAAAAAGGGAATGAAAACTAAGGAGGCAGGCAAGGGCAGCTGTCCTTGGCAATGGTTGATTACCTCCTCAGCCTCATTGGAAGTTGGTGGTTTTTAAGGCTGGGGCCAAATTGATCACATTCTTTCATGGGAAGATTGGTTCCCGCTCTTTTGATAACATGCCACGAAAGGCAATGCTCTCAGTGGTGATGGCATTAAGGAGACTTGAGTGACAAGAGGTAGGAAATGTCAGATGGCAGTCCAGTCTCTTCTTGAAAGCTTCCAGTGATGGAGCACCCACAACTTCCGAAGGCAACTTCTGTTCCATTGGTTGATTGTTCTCACTGTCAGAAAATTTCTCCTTATTTCCAGGTTGAATCTCTCCTTGTTCAGTTTCCACCCATTACTCCTTGTCTGGCCTTTGGGTGCCTTGGAAAATAGCTTCACCCCCTCCCTCCTCTCTGTGGCAGCCCCTCAAATATTGGAAGGCTGCTCTCCTGTCTCCCCTGGTCCTTCTCTTCCCTAGACTAGCCAGGCCCAGTTCCTGCAACCGTTCTTCATATGTTTTAACCTCCAGTCCTCTAAGAATCTTTGTTTAGGACAATTGGGCTGACCTTTGACCTTTTGCAGAGGTAGCCTATAACAATTCTGTGCACCATTTAAGGTGGCCTCTGGTCAGAATTTTGTAGCTATGTCAGAGTTCCCCCAAGAAAAACCTCAAGTACACTCCTTAGGGGTGTGGATAGCACAACTGAAAGCACTTGCCTGGTAACCCGTAAGGCACTGGAAGATGCACCTCCAGCATAATAGAAACAAGCCGACAAAAAAATTGTGCAAAGCCAAAAGATTTTAAAGGAGGTGATAGAGTTTACTGCTCCATAAAATATTTAGAGTCTACCCAACAGTCGAAGAAACTGGGTCCTAAATAGGTTGGGGCCATTCCCCATTGTTAAGATAATCAATCCAGTCACTCTGCAATGGAGTTGCCTGAGTGTGTTCACCTGGGTTTTGCCGCAGCTTGTTGAAACCTGAAGCTGCGTGACTCTTTGCCCTGCAGCTGATGCCCCCCTTGGGCCATTTTAATTGAAGGAGAGCAGCATTTTGAAATTAAGTACATTCTGGATTCAAGGAAGCCTAATACCTACCTGTGGGGAAACATTTTCCCTCTGCACAGTACAAACGGGTGAATGCTAAACGTGTCCGAGTTCCTAAACTCCTCCAAAACTTTCATCAAATATACCTTGACAAGCCCTGATGTGTTATTTTGTTTTACCTGTGTGTTTTGTGGTTTTTCTTTCTTGTAGGGCTAAAGCTCTGTGAGGGGAGAACGGAACGGGGCACGGAGGTCAGCCTTCCTTCTTCGCTTGGTTAATGTCAGCTGGGAACGGGAGGGGAGGGGTGATGGGCACTTGTGTGTGTGTGGGGGGAAGCATGCAGGAGGAGACGGGACATTTTTCACGAGGCTTTGCAATGGCCAGCTTGGACTTTGCTTCTCTCTCCAAGGCCATTTCTTCAAGCTTTGGTTTGCAGCAGCCAGAGACAATGCACCTGAATCAAAGGCTTTGGGCCACTGGTTGAACTCTGGTTGTCTAGTTACAGGGTGGGGGGGGGGGGGGGGCTCTCAGGGTGTTTTCATGGGGTTTTGCCTCAGATCTTGCCTGGATTAACTACAGTCACTTTTTTCCTAGTAAAAGTACCTTTCCTCTAAATCTATGCACTGAAGGGTTTTTCTTTCCCAGGATTTGAGTAGAAGCAGACCTGACAATAATTCTGCAATCACAGTATTTTTCCTGTAGGAAATTTACTATAACCAAGAGACACAGGCACTTTAAACAGAGGGCAAAAATAAATATACCGCTGCATTGTAGGAGACATAGTTGTCTCCTGTCAATATCTGAATTCAATTTTTCCAACAAGGAGCAAAGTAAAGAATTGTCAACCAACTTTATCAAATGTCCATGAACTGTTTCATGATCTCATATTTCTAGGCAATTTCACATGAAATTGCCTAGAAATATGAGAATTTCACATGATTATAATTTTGTTAATATAGATCATATGAGCTAATAATCTTTTCCAAGGCTGAGAAGGAAAAAAAAAACCTCAGCAGAGAAATATTTAGCTTCACATTCAAAGCAACATAAGATGCTGCAGGCCCACCAGGAAAATTGGAAGTTACATCTGATGACATAATAATGAAACTCCCTGAACTTTGCTTTCTTGGACAGAGCTCAGGCCCCAAGCTGCCAAATGGTTTGGGAATTTCCCTTTTGCCTGGAGGGGGGGAGGGAGATGGGGGGGGGGAAGGGGGGGAGGCGCTTGGTTCTAGAGAAGTTTACCTGGAGGGATTTTTCTACCTTGGGGAGGCCTTCCTGGAAAGATCATCTGCACTCTAAGGCCCCCTTTGCCCTCTGAGGCGCACACCCACCCTGAAACTAGGTTTGTGACTGAGGAACCAATTCCTGTCTGGCAGAAAAAGCTGATTTGCACGGAGTCTCACTGAGCAGCCGGATGATATAAGAAGAATTCAGGAAAAACCCCGCCCTCACTGAAAATCCCCCTGACCTAAAAGATTGAAAATGGGATGGGGGGGGGGGGGCAGGGCGGGTTTCCACTGTTCCACATATATTGTTTGCTTGAGACACTGTAAGGTACTCAGGTATCAGGCCCTACTTTGGAGGTGAGCCACGATGGGTTGAACAGTAGAAGCGTGATGAAGAGCCCAGACCTGCAGAGCAATCAGAGTTGTTAGGTTGTGATAGGGCCGTCACTAAAAACTGAGCTGAGCACACAAGAAGAACTTGTCTCTATTTCCTAAAATATCAAATGTACATTTCAACAGTTAAAGTCTACTATTTCATCCTATTTAAGTGCAGGTTTCTTGGAGAAACAAGGGCCATCATGTACTGATGAAGTTGGAAGAAGAGCCACTTGCCTGTGTAGGGCAGCAGAGATTCCACCGCAGTTTTGATCCCTTCATACTTCAAGAGATCCTCTGGATTCTCATGCTTGAGGAGGATCTCCACCACTGCCTGGGCCTCGAGGCAGTTCCGTGTATTGGTGTTCCACGTGATGGAAAACTTCAAAACTGCCTCTGGGGTGGGGGGAGGGGTGGGGAGGAGAAGCACATTAGGAATGAGGGCCTGCCGAGTTCATACCTGCCCTGTTAAGGGCTGTGAGATTAGGATGTGCCTCTTACTTGCCTACTTTATTAAACAAACAAACATGGCCAGTTAACTCACACAAGGTAACTCCCAGGCAGCTTACAATATTAACGTTTCGCCATGTAAGAACCCATAAACTTACCATCCCATCTTCCAGCCCCCATGACAGCAACCACACATTCACA